GGCTTGTAGTGTACAAGCCAATAAACACACAAGGCAATGCCCTTGGATCGAACTTTCCCTTGGTCTTTCGATAATCACATACATAACACACACAACCAAACACCTTTCGATGAATGGAATATTGAGAAACTGACCTTTGAAGCAATCCTATAGGAGTAACAAAGTCAAGAACTCTCAAAGACATCTGATTGATGAGATATGCAGCAGTAGTATTGCATCTCCCCAAAAAGACAGAGGTACACCCATCGAAAACATTAAGGAATGCGCCACTTCAAGAAGATGTCGATACTTCCTCTCTACTACACTATTCTGCTCCGTTGTATCAACACAACTAAATTGGTGAAGAATTTCATATTCCATAAGAAAAGCCTGATAGTCTCCATTAAAATATTCAGTCTCATTATCCATCTTGAGAACTTTAATTTAGGCATCAAATTAAGTATTTTCCAATTTATGAAAATTCTGAAAAACAAGTAAACATTCCATCCTTGCTATACAGCAGATAAACCCAACTAACTCAAGTGTACCGGTCAATGAAAGTAACAAACCATCTATATCCAGCAAGAGAACCAACACAAGATGGTCCCAACACATCAGAATGAATAATCATAAATGGAGCAGCACTTCTATTAGTATTACTAGGATAGATGACCAAGTCTTTGATGCCATTGATGTATCTATTAGAGGGACAACTGAACCAAAAGCCTGAAGTGCCTGAGAAGGTTGATCCTCCAGCAGATATAAACTACCAAGTACTCTACCATTGCCAATCGTTCTCCTTGTTCCCAGTTCTTGAAAGACACAATGCGAAGGGAAGACTGTTACGGAATAATTTAGAGGCTTTGCAAGGCTATTTATTGAGAGTAAGTTAGTAGAAAAATTAGGAACATAAAGAACTGAAGACAAATACATAGATAGAGAGCAATGGATGGAACCTTTCTCAAATACGGATGACAATGAGTCATCTACTACCCTAACTTTATCTCTACTACAACATGTGGAATAAAAAGAGAAAAAACTCAAAGAACCATTCATATAGTTGGTGGTTCTGGAATCGATTATCCAAGGATTAGAAAAGCAAGTGATAGTAAAAGCACTAACATGTATACCAGTGTGAATAAAGTTGGAAGTAGCAAAATTGAAAACAGATACAGAAAAAGCATCAAGTAGGGCCATCAGACGCCTGAGAGCTTGTGTCTCATCCGTAGTGAAACTCGCACTATCAACCCTAGTAGATGGGGATGGGCCAATGGTGAAGAGGATAAGATCAGCACTCTCGGTCAAATAAGCATGTGAGAGAACAAGACCAACCCTATTACAACCACACCCCAGGATAGACGACCGTGTAGCTTCCAACAATAGTCCTTAGTGTGCCTCGTCTTTTCATAGTAATCGCATTTTAAAATATCATTTTTCAAGGCTCCCATTTTTGCCATCACTACGAGGCTGAAATGATCTACTCTATCTCTGTGGAATAGCCACTAGAGTACATCGATCATTGGTAGGATTATGGAGCATAACACCCCTCTTGTTGTAAATAAGCATATATGTGCCTCAAAGAAGGAAAATGATCTCTGCCCAAGACCTGTATATGTATCTGATTATACTCTATATTGAGACCTACAAGATAATCATATACTCGTTCTTTCTCTACCAATTTCTTAAATTTAGCACTATCTCCAAAACAATTTGCTTGAAAATCCTGATAATAGTTTAGTTCCTGCCATAGACTACTCAATCCTATATAATACTCTACAGTAGTCATGTCCCTCTATTTGGTCTCATGAATCTTCTTCCGAAACTCATAAATCTGGGCATCATTCCTAACCTATGAAAAGGCCTGAGCTACAACTAACCAAATTTCACCAGCAGTCTCAAGAAATAGGAAACCACGACTGATTTGGAGAGAAGGGTTACACCCAAGGGTCCCTACACGGCTCAACCCACTTTTCTCAGTACTAGTAGAGTATGTACTAACTCCTAACATGCGTCCTCAGCAAACGAGGGCCTCTTTCACAAAGCCTGACTACAAAACACACAATTTGAAACTAATTCAATACAAAAGGAGGTCAACCAATGATTGCCGACACCAAAAAAGTCCAATAGCACAACACCAAAACAGTGCAGCCGGTGACTGTTGACCACAAAACAAGGCCCTGAGAGGTTGTCAAAGACCTCTGGGGATCACCAAGGTCTTTTTCTAGCCAAAAATCCACAAACCAGTACCGGGTCTAAAAAAACCTCATCCATAGCCTCAAAGCAATAGGAGAAACACCACCAGGAATGCTAGAACACAGATAAACAATCTCACAGTAAAGTCGATTGTCAAAATTACCCAAAAAACATTAGGTTGCGCAACAAACTCCACCTAAGTTTAGTTTTGGTGTTTAGAATAGAGAATAGGCAAGAGAGAAAAAGTAGATAAAAGAGTTTTGAAGAATAAGAATTAACCAAACTCTCCTCTCATCACCCATTTTATATTAACACACAATAGGCTACAGATTACAATTATACCCCTAATTAAAATATCATAACATTCTACACTTTCCAAGAGACAAAGACATTTCTCCCCTCCTTCACCGTCTTTTCAGGGGGAGCAGTGTATTGAAGAAGAGATGTTAGAGGATGTATTCCTTCTCTTACTCTCCAATCAGGGCTTGGGTCACAAAGGAAAATCTAGCCGGGCAGAAACTCAAGAAGAAACACCTGTTCATGGAGAGCAGACTGCTTGCAAAAGATTAGATAGGGAGGATTTGTAATATTATACTGACGACCGGCTAAGTAGATCACCACCCATGAGCCACAAAGCTCGTCATCATCTCCAGACTCAGTNGGAGAGCAGACTGCTTGCAAAAGATTAGATAGGGAGGATTTGTAATATTATACTGACAACCGGCTAAGTAGATCACCACCCATGAGCCACAAAGCTCGTCATCATCTCCAGACTCAGCTCCCGAGATCTTTTCCCAGTTATCAAGTAATGAGTCTCCTTGTAGTAATCCTATTAATGATAGTTCTTTACTTATTGCTATTTGAAAATGAGTTCGAACTTGTACCCAACATCCTATTTTGAAATTTGTGTCTTATGACTCTTTGTCTTCCTCCTATCATGCTTTTGTTTTGTTTTTGTCTTCTACGTCCCTTCTTTAGAATTGGAATGAAACTCTTGCAGAACCCAAGTGGAAAGCAACCATCATAGAAAAAATGAGAGCTCTGGAAAAAATGAAACGTGGGAGCTCTTGTCTCTTCCCATTGGAAAAAAATAGTAGGATGTAAGTGGATGTTCAATGTCTAGCAGAATGTAAATAGTAGTGGATAGATATAAAGCAAAATTGGTAGCTAAGGGGTTTACTCAAACGTACGGCATTGACTATCATGGGACATTTGCTCCTGTTGCGAACATGAATTTTATTCGTGTCATTCTCTCATGTGCTGCCAATCTGGGATGGGATTTACAACAACTGAACATAAAGAATGTATTCCTTCCTGAGGACTTAGAGGAGAAAGTGTACATAGATATTCCTCCCACATTTTCTTCTCCAGATACAGAGGGAAAAGCTTATAAGCTGAAGAAATTTTTTTATAGACTCAAGCAATCTCCTAGAGCTTGGTTTGAGAGATCCTTTAAGGCAATGGTCAAGTTTCGGCTCAAGAAGAGTCATGCAGATCACACCCTATTCATCAAACAAGGGAGTGATAAGATCTACATTCTTATAGTATATGTTGATGACATAATACTCACAAGTGATGCTATGGAGGAAGTGTCCAAATTGAAAGTTCATCTTGCTACAGAGTTTGAGATTAAGGATTTGGGACGGTTATGCTATTTCCTAAGAATTGAAGTGGCCAGATCAGATAAAGACATCTTTATCTCAAAAAGAAACATATCCTTGATCTCCTAAAGGAAACCGGCATGCTGGTATATAGACCTACACTCACCTATTGAGACAAACCACAAACTAAAAAGTGATCAAGTTGATAGAAAAAAATATTAGAGGCTTGTTCGGAGACTTATATATCTTTCTCACACTCGCACAGACATAGCATATGCAATGAGTCTTGTTAGTCAATTCATGCATGCTCCGCGAGTCCATCATCAAGAGGCCGTTCATCATATACTCTAGAATCTCAAATCATCTCCTGACAAATGAATATTGTTCTTAAACTAAGGTCATATGAGAATAGAAGTTTTCATAGATGCAGATTGGGCAAGGTCAATTGAGGATAGGAGGTCCACTATAGATTACTATATTTTTGTAGGCGGAAATATAGTTTCTTGGCGGAATAAGAACCAAGCATTGGTGGCTAGATCTAGTGCAGAGGTAGAATATATGGCTATAGCTCATGGATTTGCGAGCTTATGTGGCTGAAACCTTAATGAAAGATTTAGGTGTCTCTAATGGTGAACCTATACGTCTGTATTATGGTAATAAGACTACCATAAATATTAATCACAACTCGGTTCAACATAACAGAATAAACAATAATGAGATTGACAAACACTTCATTAAAGAGAAGCTAATTGATGGGCTGAATAGTATGCATTTGTGATGTCCAAGGAACAACTAGCCGATGTGTTTACTAAGGGGCTTAGTGTAGAATTTTTCATTCAGATGTATGCAAGTTAGGCATAAGAGATATCTATCCTCCAACTTGAGGGACAGTGTAGAATGTTAGATTATTTTAAATTGAGGGTATTGTTATAATCCTCACATTATTATGAGTTAATATAAATACGGGTGATGAGTGGATAGATTGATTAACTCTTATTCTTCTTAACCCTATTTTCTAATCTCTTCTTTCACATCTCCACTCTAAACCCCAGATTTAGATTTCAACTGTAACTGTTAGTTACTTCAACTGTCGCCGACTCACCATCATCTAGCTTTCATAATCAGGTATTCTCACCAGATCTATATTGCTTGTTGTCCCCGGGCTTGGCTATCTGTTGTGTGCTTCATTCTTGTATTGTCATCAAAATTTTTGTTGCCTCTGAGAACTCATGCCGCTGTCTGCTGCATCGAAGAGACTAGGTATAGTTCGAAAATTTCGAACCAGAAAATTAGGGTTGCTTGCTGGGCTAAAACCTTCGACACAGGCCCCTGGTTTAAAAGATTTCAACCCAAATTAGGAACAGATTTCTGTAATAGATAATTGCAGCCAGAAATTTCTGAAATTACACAATCAGCCCCACAATCTTTAGAAATACAGATTCAATATCAAAGGTCAGGTATGTATCCAATACTTTCCCTCCCATACCCCTCGAAGACCAAACTGAGTAATGACCCATTATTGTGATGTTGAAGTCAACATTTTTTTTTTTTTAAGTAGACCATTTAGAGAAAGAAAAAAACTGTGATGGATGACATACATTAACAATTGAAACCTTCTCTGGAAATAAGCGATCATTCCTGTCCCCTAAGCCCAAGTTTCCATAACGACCCCAGCCCCAACCATACAGCTCACCATCTTCTGTAACAGCAGCTGTATGTTCAGCACCTGCAGCAACCATTTTAACAGATACTCCCTACAAAAAGATACATGGAAGCGGAGTTAAATGCGTAAATAATGTCTGCACACTCTTTCCATGCCAACTCGAATGAAAAGCATGCTTGAGCTGATTCATATATCATTATATCATTGACATAAGCATAATAAAAACATTGGTAAATGCAGATGATTCTTTTTTTTGTGACAAAGTCCTCAAGAAAGATTGGTTTTTTCACATGTACAAAGAGTTTGAATTAGTAATGGGCCCAACTAGAAAATGCCATTGATATGATGAATATTGGTAGAAAATCCATAGGATGTATTTTATTTAGAGAATTGATGAATCCAGGATCCAAAATTTTTCAGTGCACTTTTGTACTAAAATTTGAGAATCCCGAAATCCCATGATGCTTCAAAACATGCTTAAAATATCATCAAGGACGTGATTCCAAAAACCCCATATGACAATAACTACTCCAAAGCCCCATATATAAGTTTTTGTGGAATCTATCACAAGTGAATTGAAAAGTGAGAAATTTCTGAAAACGACTGATTCTCTAATGAGGATGGCAGCTTCTAGGGTTTCTTCTTCGAAACCATGGCAACTAAGAATCCCTCTTCCTCTCCCACTATTATGGCACCATCCACAACCTACTATCCATGGAGCGAAGACAGTTAGGTACCAGATCCTAAACCACAAATTCCTAAAACCTTTGCAACAATTGTAAAAGATGACAAGTGTTAAGTTTAGAGAATTAACACAATATTATAGAGAAACAGAGAATGGTCAAAAAACATAACTTAGCTCTCATACATCACTTGTATTTCTAGTTAACCTACAATAATAAGAATTACACATACACCCTCTTACTATTAACAATTTATAAATACTACCCTACTATTCTTAACACTCCCCCTCAAGCTGGACTATATATATCATATAATCTAAACTTGAAACAAATAGCTGTAAGACATGTACTACTCAATGTTTTGGTAAACATATCTGCAAGCTGATATTCAAATTTCACAAATGGAGTTGTAATCTCCCCAGCTACTATCTTATCCCGAATAAAGTGACAATCAACCTCAATATGCTTGGTTATCTCGTCAAACACAGAATTGGCAGCGATATGGATAGTTGTCTGGTTGTCACAAAACAACTGTAAAAGAAGTTGAACTGGAAACTCAATTTCCTGGAGGAAGTGTAGTAGCCAAGTTAACTCACTCGTCGTATACGACATTGCCCTATACTCGGCCTCGGCACTGAATCTTGCTCCACGGGTTGTTTCTTACTTTTTCATGAGACAACATTACCCACTAAGAAAGTACAATAACCAGTGGTTGTTATCCAATCAGAAGGAGAGCCAGCTCAATCAGCATTTGAGAAGCCTTCTACTCTAAGATGTCTATTAGCTCGACATAACAATCCAAGTCCAGAAGCTCGTTTGAGATATCGCAGAATACGAGTAACTGCTTCCCAATGTGGTACTCTAGGACATCCCATAAACTAACTTACTATACTGATTGCATAAGAAATATCCGGTCGAGTAATAATGAGATAATTAAGCTTCCCAACCAATCTGCGATACCGACCCGGATTCTCAAACAATACACCATCATCTATCAATAATTTCTGATTCGGATCCATAGAAACATCAAATGGTCTACCACCCAGCAAACCTGCTTCCTCAAGCATGTCAAATACATATTTCCTCTGAGATAAACAAATACCCTTTTTAGATCGAGTNATGGTCTACCACCCAGCAAACCTGCTTCCTCAAGCATGTCAAATACATATTTCCTCTAAGATAAACAAATACCTTTTTAGATCGAGCCACCTCAATACCCAAGAAATACCTGAGTTTTTTCAAATTTTTAGTATGAAATCGATCTTGTAAGAATATTTTTAACTTGACAATCCCCTCAGAATCATTTTCAGTAATCACAATATCATCTACATAGACCACCAATAGGACATATCCAGCATCTGTCTGACATCAAAAAAGACCAAACTCTAAAACTGCATTTGAAAACTTACAAAATCATGCCCTCGATGACTGCTTCAAACCATACAAAGACTTGTTTAACCGACATACACTCTTACCGTACTCCCCCTGAGCAGTAAACCCAGGTGGCTGCTCCATGTATACCTCGTCAACCAAGTCACCATGTAAGAAGGCAATCTTGACGTCTAACTGAAACAAGGGCCAATCAAGATTAGTAACCAAAGAAATCAAGATACGAACAGAGAAAATTTTGGCAACAGGAGAAAAAATCTCCTCATAATCAACACTCTAAGTCTGAGTAAAGCCCTTTGCAACAAGTCGGGTTTTGAGACGCTCCATAGAACCATCTTGATGAAATTTAACAGTATATACCCAACGACAGTCAATAGTTCGTTTACCAGAGGGTAAAGGAATGAGATCTCAAGTCTTATTATGATGTAAAGCATCCATCTCCTCCTCCATACCTTTCCTCCGATCCGGATCAGATAATGTATCCTGTGAATGCTTAGGAATAAATATAACAGATAATTGGGAAGTAAAACAAGAGAAGACAGGAGACAAGACATCGTATGAAACAAAATGAGAAATTGGATGATTAGTAACACACGAACAAGTACTATTGCACAGAGCAATAGGTAAAGAGTCTAAATTACCTGATGTATCAGGATCAGAAGGCGGCAAGGAAGATGGTACGGGCACCTCAGTTGATGAGCGATGACGGCGAGAATAGACACAGAGAGGTAAAGTAGATGGTAACACAGTGGGCAGCGGAATATCTGAAGATGAAGAAAGAAATGGTAGTACAGGAGGGGATCTAAAATCCAGATCCAAAGGCTGATAAGGTACTGGAAAGTATGGAATAGATTTTTCAAACGTGACATCGGCACTAGTAAAGTATCGGTGCAGAGAAGGATTGTAGCAGCGATATCCCTTCTGCGTACGGGAGTAACCAAGAAATACACATTTAGTAGCTCGAGGGTCAAGTTTATCAAACTCAGGCCCCAAATTGTGAGCATAACAGACACATACAAAAACTTTAGGAGTCAGGAAAAATAAAGGCTTACTGGGAAAAATGACAGAATATGGACTTTGCCCATTTAACACAGAGGATGGCATACGATTGATAAGATGATAAGCAATAAGAACAGCATCACTCCAATAATATGAGAGAAAATTCATTTGGAATAACAGAGCACGGGTGACTTCCAACAAATGACGATTCTTGCGTTCAGCAACACCATTTTGTGGAGAGGTGTAAGCACAAAAAGTTTGATGAATAATGCCAGTTTTACTAAGATAAGCTAAAAAATGATTAGATTCATATTTTCAAGCATTATCGAGACGTAAAGTACGTATACGACAACCAAACTGAGTTTTTATTTCCTTACCAAAAGTGTCAAAATAGAGAATAATTCGGACTGAGCTTTCATCAAAAACAATCAAGCCACACGAGAATAGTCATCCACAAATGTCACAAAATAAAAATATTTATTAGATGAAATATTCTTTATTAGACCCCATACATCAAAATGGACTAATTCAAATGGACTAGACACACGATTATTGACTCTAGACTGAAATGACACATGGTGATGCTTACTAAGTTGACAAGCTTCACAAGACAAAGACGACACATAACTAAGACTGGGAACTTGGCGCTTCAGATTTTGGAAAGAGGGATGTTCAAGACGACAATGTCATTGAAAAGGAAACAACGAGGTCTGCAGAGCCCAAGTAGGTGAGTCAAAATCAAAGTAATAAAGGTCACCGACTTCATGCCCCACACCAATCTTCCTCTTCGTTTGGAAATCCTGAAAGACACAATAAGAGGGATAAAAAGTTACAAAACAATTGAGAGAACGAGTAATCTTAGTAATGGAAAGTAAACTAAAAAGAAACTTAGGAACAAATAACATGGACGATAGGGGTATAGTAGGACTCAAGTGAGTAGCCCCCATACCTGAAATTTTAGAACAAGTACCATTAGCAAGAGTAATACTATGTGTGGAAATAACAGACTGATAAGTAGAATAAACATCAAACGCACCAGTCATGTGGTCAGAAGCGCCAGAGTCTACGATCCAGGGACTGCGGGTGGAAGACAACAAACAAGTGAAAGCAATACCTGACCGGGCAAAAATAGCAGTAGAGGGAGATGGAACAGCCTGTTGCTGGGATAGGAACTGGGCATACGCCCCTCGACCCAGTGTAACAGTAACTGACCCGGTGTTCGATGGAGCTAACCGAGGTATGGAAGCAACAACCGATGTATCATCCTACTAAGAAACCTGATTAGCAGCACTAGAATATTTTCCACGTAAGTCCCAACATAAGTCAACAGTGTGTCCTCCACGACCACAATGAATACAGGAATGGGATCTACTACGACCCCCACGGCCACCCATACTACCTCCCGTACGATTTTCGCGACCACCACGTCCACTATGTCCACCTCGATGACCATCACTATGGCTATTAGGAACCACAAGAGCTAAGCGATTAGTGAAGACACCGTGATCAATGACTGAAGGAGTAGACAGTGTAGCACGTTGTAAATGAGAGAAAACCTCCAGTAGTGATGGAAGACTAGATCCACCCAAAATCTGAGAATGAATAGCCTCATATTCAAGTTTCAATCTTACTAAAAACCTAACAACATTCAGGTCCTCATGTTGCTTCTGCCAAACTGCTGCATCAGTAGTAAATGAATGGTAAGTCTTCATCTCCTCACAAACTCCCTGAATATGAGAGTAATAATCTATAAAGCTCAGAGTACCTTGCTCCAATAGGAAGTACTCCTTGCACACCTCATACGCACAGGTAAAATTGTCTGTACCAAAATATACAGTGGCCAAAGTGATCCCATATCTCTTTGGTAGTATCAAGATAGAGCAGAGAAGAGCTAATACTGGGCTCTTTGCAATTCAACAATAAAAAGATAATCTGAGCATCTTCTTGTTCCCACTGATCATAACCAGGAGTGTCTTTCTTGGGTTTAGAACCACCCAGATATTTT